GTAGCTCCATGGGAAGGTAGCTCTCTGGCACCGCAGTCAGGGGACCGAGGCCTGGGACATAGCTCCATGGGAAGGTACCTCTCTGGCACCTAGTTTTCTCTTGTTACACAGTTGAAGAATAAGTTGTTTGATTAGATGATCTGTGAGACTCTTCTGCTCTGAAATTCTGGTAGTTCTGTGATTTCAGAGTGGAAGGACAAAAGATAGCTCAGGTCGGGCGCACGGTGGCTTATGCCTGCGATTCCAGCACTTTGGGAGGACGAGGCAGGCAGACCACTTGAAGTCAGGAGTTCAAGACCAGCCTGGCCAACATGGTGAAAGCCCGTCTCTACTAAAAATACAAAAATCAGCCAGGCTCAGTGGTGCATGCTTTTTAATCCCAGCTACTCGGGAGGCAGAGGCGTGAGAATTGCTTAAACCTGGGAGGTGGAGGTTGCAGTGAGCCGAGATCATACCACTGCACCCCAGCCTGGGTGACAGAGTGAGACCCTGTCTCCACCCCCAAAAAAAGATAGCTCAGGTTCAGAAACAGGCTTGGAAGCATCGCCTGCCTTCACCCTCCATCTGTGGAAGCTGCAGCTGAGCTGCAGGAATAGGGTGTGGCTCTGCGGCCAGCGGGCTCTGCAGTACTCAGCACACAGTCTCAGAGCTTGCCCTTGCTCTCTACATCAGGTGGAGAGCATCTTTAAATTTAGATTTGTCTTTCCTAGGTTGTTTTCATCATAAAGAACAGTGTTTACATTTTTTTGTTGTTGTTGTTAGCAGTTTTAAGAAATCGGGGCTAGTCCTACCTTTTGCAAATTATTTTCTGCGAATTGTTTGGTATTCAGCAACATTGTGGGAAAAGCTTAGTTTCAGAAAAGGTGGCTAAAAGCACTGGATTTTTTTTTTTTTAATTTTTCTTTCCTTTTCCTTCTCATAACCAAGGTAGAAAAGCACTGGATTTTAAGGAATTGAAACAGGATTGGAAAGCTTTCAGTTAACATAGGTAGAAATATAGAGAGCTGCAATAATAGGGACCAGCTATGACCCAGTGGAGTGACCTGTTGGTGAACTTCTAATTGACTTTGTAACTGCCATCTTTGTGGGGGTGGGAGGCAGACTCCTTGCTCTCATGTGGAGGCTCCCTTGGGGTGCATTTCTGTTAGAGGTAAGCATGGCTTGTGCTTTTCCATCTCACTGGGAGACCCAGTAGTGCTAGGGTAAAGAGTGAGGCACGGAACACAGGCCTTCTGGTTCCCTAGCCATTTAGGACTGTCTGAACTTGAGCAAGTTATCTAATCTCCTTATGCTTTACTTTTTTCATCTGTAAAGTGGGGATGATCAAGTACTTACCTCATTGGGTTTTGGGGAGAAATAAATGAGTTGGGAAATGTTAAGCTCTTAAATTACCGTAGAGCCCGACTGCTGCATTTTAAGGGCTTACTAATGGGAGTTGTTTTTATTGTTTTGTATCTGTTCTGCTTTTTACTATATTATGAATTCTTAGGATGACTTGAGAAAGGAGGATTTCAGTAGCATGAGTGCTCAGTTGTTATACAAAATGATCAAATCCAAGACAGAGTACCCGCTACATAAAGCTATCAAAGTGGAGAGAGAAGATGTGGTCTTCCTTTATCTGATTGAAATGGATTCCCAGGTACTGTAGCTGCCTTTTCCGTTTTTCATTTCCCAAAGCTGTAATGCACTTATTTTTTCCGTGGTACTCCTCACTTCCATTGGAGCCATCCCTGGCGCAGTCTTTAATGTACGGATTTCTACTAAATAGTTTGTTCAAGGCAAGCTGAGCTTTTCTAAAGTGTTCCTTAAAATCCTTCCAGCCTTAGCCCATTGCCCAATTTAAAAACCTCTCACATGCTTTTAGGTAGTTTTTTTGTTTGTTTGTTTGTTTTTTTGGTAACAATACTTCTTAACTTCCAGGTGCAAAATCTGTATTAGTTTGCTTTTGCTGCTATAATAAATTACCATCAACTTAATGGGTAAAACAACACAAATGTATTGCCTGACAGTTTCATAGGTTGGAAGTCTAGGACAGGAGTCACTGGCCTAAAATCAAGGTGTCAGCAGGCTGTGCTTCTTTCCAGAGACTCTAGAGGAGAATCCAATTCCTGCTCATTTGGGTTTTTGGCAGAATTCAGATTCTTGCAGTTACAGGATCGAGGTCCCTGTTTTCTTGCCAGCTATCAGCTGAGGGCCATTCCCACCTTCTAGAGGCCACCACACATTCCTTAGCTCATAGCCCTGGCTTTTGTCTTAAAAGCCAGCAGTGGTGGGTCAGGTCCCTCTCATGTCACATCTCTCGGACTTACTCTTCCGGTTCCCATTTTCACTTGTAAGAGCTTGTGTGATGAGTTATATTGGGCCCTCCTGGATGACCTGGGGTGCCCTCACCATCTCAAGGTCCTTCACCTTCATCACATCTTCAGCACGCCTTTTGCCATGTCATGTGACATGTTTACAGGTTCTAGGGATTAGGACATGTACATCTTTGGGGGGCTATAATTCTGCCTTCTACATTACCTTAAACAAAATGTAGTGGCTCTTGACAGATGGGAACGAGGTATGTTTTATCCTGGGTGTCAGTGTATTAGGAGACATTGAACTGCTGGGAAGAATGAAGTAGGAAAGCCACCGCCTTTCATGAAAACATGAGCTCTTTACCAAGAAGCCCTCCGAACCTCTGCCCTGGCAGTCGTGCCCCATGGCACTCTGTCCACATTTTCCCTGTGATTCTTACATTGTCTCCCACGTTGTTTATGTTTGCTGTCTGGTCCCCACTAATTCTGTCCTCCCTGAAAATATGTGCCCTGAGGAAGCCTGATAGAAGTTTGTGACGAAGTTGAATTTGGAGAGTAAGTAGTGTCAGACCACTTAAATTGGACTTTTGTAGAGGAGACGATATTTAAGGGTCAAGGTGGGAGAAATTAAAATGGGTCCTCTTCTCTACTCACTGGACGCTAATTTACAAACTTGTTTGTGTAGCTCCCTGGGAAGCTGAATGAGGCGGATCATAATGGAGATCTGGCATTAGATCTAGCCCTTTCGCGACGACTGGAGAGTATTGCCACCACGCTGGTTAGCCACAAAGCTGATGTGGACATGGTGGACAAGCATGGCTGGAGCTTGCTACACAAAGGAATCCAAAGAGGTGGGAACAGGTGGATTTCATGTTTTTCTCTGCAGGCAATTTTATTTTTATCCAAGTAATTTTTAAAGACTTTCTGAACTTGTTTCAAAAATTCTCGAAGCCTTCTCTAGTCTATACTCACAGGCTGCGTGATTTAGAATTTGATCATGGCTGTTCCCTAGGCCTTGTTTGTTTGGCCGTTCATGGTGCCAACAAGGCTCCGGAAGAAAGGCTCTAAAGATGGTCCTGTGTGTGAGGAAGTACCTTTTACTTGTAAGCACCTGATATATTTGCTTGCTCAGTGGGTTACTTTCTCCAGGAATTGTGCTAGGAAGGTTTTGCTTTTCTATCCTACCACAGATACAAGGATAGTATCAAAACCATCAATGTTTAAATATATTCTACCTCTCTTAAGATAAATTGATAAAAGTTTCATTTTGTTCTAGCAAAGTTATTTGGAATTGTAGCTATATTTTGAATACATTGTTGGTAGTTGGAAGAATCTAGAAAGGATAAACTGGAGAACAAAACATTTTAATCCTAATGAATTAACTTCTCAAAGGAAGAAACAATACTAGTTTTTTGTTTAGTTTTTTCCATGGTCTTACTAATGCCTAAGTCCCAAATGAATCCCGGCTGATGTTGCTTTGCAGTGGTCATTTTTGACCCAGTGAAATCTGTACAGAGGTAGAGTTCCAGTAACGAATGAAAGCTTTCAAAAGTGTTGAAGCGTTAATTTTGTGGTGGGGTGGTTGACTTGATTGGAGTACATTGCCATGTCCGCTTTTTTGTTACTTACATGTAGACATCAAAGAGAGAATATAGTCGTTTCACTCCATCTTAATCATCTATGTTTTCCCCGTTCGGTGATGCGTTGTTACTCCATTCTCGTCTATACCGCATTTTGCCATTCACAAATGGCTCCTAGTTGATAGAATGTAGTTCCATCAAGATGTGGTCCTGTGCCAGCTTTGTCCTTTTTTGGGCAAAGGTTTTAACACAAATATCCTTGTTAGCCATGTGTTGGAGTGCTGAGCTTGCTGGCTGGTAGAGAGGAAAATTTTGCTCATCACTGGGTAGGAAATCCTTGGAGTCTGTCAATGTCAAGACCAGATGCGTTTTTCCCAAGCACCATTCTGTGCTGTGCAAAGCCAGTGGGTGCTTAGCACTGAGTATGCGTTCAGTGGGGAAATCTCACCAGGGAGGGCCTGATTCTTTCCCACACTGTTTAGTGTCTGAGATGTTTATCTTGGAAACAAATACCCCATTACTTTAAAAAAAGAATCTGAGAATTTTGTTTCTTTCCTCTCAGAGAGACAATTCTTGTTTCATGATAAAACATTTTTGAGTTATTAAATTTTTTGGTGATTGCTTACTTACAAGAATTGCCAAGAATTAGTGATCCATTTTTGATGTTTATTTTCAGATGATTTAATCTTCCACTCTGAGTTTATTAATTGCCTGCAAATATGTGTGTTACAGTGTGGGTATAATGAAGTTGATTTTGCTAACTTTAGAGAGTGTAGCATGTTGCGGTGGACAGAGCACTGGCTGTGAAGCTTGTATGTACCAAGGTTTGAATCTTAACTGATCTGTTGACTCTGTGACCTTCGGTAAGTCACATTCTGAGTCTTATCCATAAAGTGGGAATCACTAAGGCTTTATTTGTTTGTTCAGAGAATGCGAGACGGGGGTGTCGGTACACCCAGTAGTAATAACCAGGTGACAGGTAGGGTCGGCCCTGCAGTTCATACCTTGACCCTGCATCGGAACACCACCAGATTCAGCTCCTGTAGGATTTTTTTTCACTTTCACTGTTAAGAGTGCAAGTCTGTAATATATGGGATTTAGGTTTAGTTCTGAGCACACATTAGAATCTGTAAACAGAATAGTCAGTGATCATCCTGATAACCACGTAAACCAGTCATTTTGTCTGAAGAAGGGAACAGGCAGGCAGTGTCTCTGAGGGAGCCCCCAGGAGGCCCAGGTATGGCTGAGGGGTCATCTCCTTCGAGCAGCCGGATCTCAGCAAGAAGGTGAGCCTTCACTTGATACAAACAGCTCTTCCTGAACTTTTTTACCTTAATAACCAGCATCAGTCAGTGGGGTTCTTGAGTATGCGCCTGTTAATTATTTTTAGTAAATTTGAAAATGATGCCACCAACTGGAGCAGCATGAAATGTGGTTTGTATGAGTGGAATAATGAAGGCTACTGTCTGAAGAGAGCTGTCCAGAAGCCGCATCCAGAGAAATACTGTATATGGATTGTTTTAGTGTGGACTTTCCTGTTAAGAATATTTTTATGTGGACAGCTTACGGTAGTTGTGCCTCATTTACCCGCGAGTGTCAGTGAATGAGGTGATGAAGTAACTGAAACTTTGAAGCATCAGTTTTTATTGGAACTGTTTTTGATGATTTGAAATCAAAACATCTGAACTGTATTACCCGCTTTCTTATGGACAGAAACCTCGTAAATGGTGCCTTTGGCATTTTCTGTTCCTCCTTTTGTTCTGCTCTTCTGACATCAGTTATCTTTTTCCCTTCCTTTGTGTACCCTGTGGGCTGACTTTCTTTTAATGTAAAGCTTTATTAATTTTCTGTTTCTAGTAATTTCTAATAGCTTCTTTATGTGGGGTGCATATATTTATGTATATGTGTGTATGATTATAGGTAAAAAGAACTTTATATTTGGATCTTATTAATAAAGTAAATCTGATCCGAAATCTATAATTCTTCTAAGAGGACTTACGGGTTTAAGATATAAAATTCTTTTTATCATGCCTTCCATCTGAATCCAGCCATTCATAGCTTTTCATATACCTGTGCGGTATTGCCCAGTTTATCTTCTTTATGTATGGTGTATTATACATTTCTCATTAACCTATCTTGTTTCAGCTTTACTGTATATTTCTCTCTCTCTGTCTCCTTTTTTTTTTTTTTTTGAGACAGAGCCTTGCTCTGTCGCCCAGGCTGCAGTGCAGTGGTCCAATTTCAGCTCACTGCAACCTCCACCTCCCGAGTTCAAGTGATTCTCATGCCTCAGCCTCCCTAGTAGCTGGGACTACAGGTGTGTGCCACTACGCTTGGCTAATTTTTGTATTTTTGTAGAGATTGGGTTTGCCATGTTGGTCAGGCTGGTCTGCAACACCTGGCCTCAAGTGATCCACCTGCATTGGCCTCCCAAACTACTGGGATTACAGTCAGGAGCCACTGTACCCAGCCACTATATATTTGTGTCTTGGTTTGGAATATATTTTAAGCTTAAAAATAATGAAACTACGTTATCCCTTCTCCCCCGAGTTTCTCATATTTTGGACTTTTCATTGAGGCTCTTTGTCACAATAGTTCTAAAGTTTCTTTCTATTCCCAGAATGTTAGTGGCTGTCTCTAGGATATTTTGTTTTATTGCTAATGTATTGTTGTCTTTATGTATTTTCTCCTATACCAAATCCACGTGGAGTTTGTTCATGATACAGAGTAGGGCCCAATGTGTACCTGTATAAATGGATAGCAAAGGCCTGACCTAGCCTAGCCCCCAGTGTACATGTTACCTGTAGTGCTTTACTGCCTCTCTACTATAAAGAAATCTGAGCTTTAGCCCTTTGCACCTGATACTGGTAAAGATTGCACCCTTCTGCATCCCTGCCCCACCCAGAACAGGAGCAGAAGAATGAAAATATTTCAAGAGAAGGGACTGATTGGAAAATTGTGAAGTTATCTGAAGTCACAATTAATTCAAATTCGAGCCTTTCTGATAACTAGAACCTAACAGCCCCAACCAGTCAATCCATTTGCTTCCCAAATATTTCCCCAGGGTCTGTTTTGTATAAGACAGTGTGAATACAAAAAAAACAAAAAAACAAAAAAAAACAGACACGAGCCAATCCAGCATCTGAGCAGCGAGTCAGCATCTGAGGCCTCCCGGCTGCCCCAGTGCCAGAGCCCACATTCTCTAGCAAGATGATCCCTTGGAAGAAAGCATAGAGCAGATGGGAAGTGTTGAAAAACAGACAGCCTGGGTGCGGTGGCTCATGCCTGTAATCCCAGTAGTTCAGGTGGCCAAGGTGGGAGGATCACTTGAGGCCAGGAGTTCGAGTCCAGCCTAGGCAACATAGTGAAACCTTATACCTACAAAAAAATTTTTAAATGAGCCAGGCAGAGTGGCATACACCTGTACTCCTAGCTACTTGGGAGGCTGAGGCAGGAGGACTGCTTGAGGCTGGGCGGCTGAGGCTGCAGTAAGCCGTGATTACACTACTGCACTCCAACTTGAGCAGCAGAGCCAGACCCTATCTCAAAAAACCAGAAACCAAAACAAAAGCAAATGATTTTCTAATTTCATACCCACTGAGAACCAGATGACACCTGAATACTCAAATGAAAATGCGTACAGGAATACGGTCAACAGAATTGAGAGAGCTTTACCACTCCTGAAACCCCATTTTAGGTGTTCAGACTGTAGATGTGTAGTTGAAGGAGATGAAATGATATCATAAGATGTAAAGAGAAAATTTTGGAAGAGAGAAAATCCTTGTCTCGAAGTTGTGATTCAAAGGAGTCTGCACCCACAATTCTAACAATTAGGAACCAATCAAAGTGTCTTGATGCAAAGACAAAAGCAGATGGACTATGGAAAGAACACCATTGCCTGTGATCCATAAAAGAAAGACGTGCTAAGGCACCTTCAACAATCCACCGTTCATCCCAAGACCACCCACACATTTAAGGCATGTAGTCAACTTTCATGGGACCAGCAAATCAAACTCTGCGACATTGTTCTGCATTTTGGGGATCATCCAGCTGAAGAAGGATGTGATTTGCAAGAAATTCACCGTGTAGCCCTTGGGGAGATGGAGACCGCATCTGCGGAAAGTGCCTCTGAATCCCAGCTCTTGGGTCAACTCACATTTCAGCCATCAAAGTTTCATGTGCGGATTTCAGGTTGCAGATGAGTTTGACTTGGAAGATGTTTAACTGCACCCCTTGAAAGACTTTCCAGACTAGGGGCCATGGCTCACGCCTGTAATCCCAACACTTTGGGAGGCTGAGGTGGGCAGATTGCTTGAGCCCAGGAGTTCAAGACCAGTTTGGGCAACGTGGCAAAACCCATCTCTTCCAAAAACACAAAAATTAGCTGGGTGTGTTGTGTAGTCCCAGCTACTCGGGAGGTTGAGGTGGGAGGATCACCTGAGCCCCAGAGGTCGAGGCCGCAGTGAGCCATGATGATACCACTGTACTTCAGCCTGGGTGACAGAGAGCCTGTCTCAAAACAAAAACAAAACTCCCCAAACCCAACTTTCCCGGTATGAGCTCATTGGTGCCACCTGGTGGCCACTGAGAGCAATTGCTGTCACCCAGTGAGGTGTAATGCCCCAAACCTTTTTAACAGGTTTCTGTTCCGTATATTATGATGCTTTGCTATCATAATGATGCCTTGTTTTCTTAAGAAGCATAAAATTTATATATACGTAGTGTGTTTGTATGTTTTAAATTTTAAATATAAATCCAAGTAAGATTGAACTTTAAGTAATCTTAAATTTAATTGTTTAGTCTTTGTCATTCTCCAAGTTGACAAGTATACTTTAACTGGTTTTTCACAAGTGTTTTTTTTTTTTCTTTTCTTTTCTTTTTTATCTTTATGAAGAATTTCACAAGTATTTTTAACATTAAATGGCCACTTGTCAGATGGGTTACTTCTGAGTCTGACCCGTGTATTTGTACAACCAGTCTAGAGTCCTGTTTCTCTATGCAAGTGTCTGACAAAGTATTGTCACAGATGTATACCTTAAATATCTTAAACTTAATTCTTGACCTTTTATTAACATGTCAAAGTACTTTTATTCCCTCCTACGGAGCATAAATAGTCAAAGACGGTAAATCAAGCTATTAAAATTAATGGATTTTGGCCAGGTGCAGTGGCTTATGCCTGTAATCCCAGCACTTTGGGAGCCTGAGACAGGTGGATGGATCTTTTGAGCCCAGGGTTTGGAGACCAGCCTGGGCAACATGGTGAAACCCTGTCTTTACTCAAAATATAAAAAAATAAGCCAAACATGGTGATGTACGTGCCTGTAGTCTCAGCTACTCAGGAGGCTGAGGTAGGAGAATCCCCTGAGCCTAAGAAGTCGAGGCTGCAGTGAGCCGTGATCGTGCCAGCACACACCAGCCTGGGTGATGGGGGTGAGACTTTGTCTCAAAAAAGAAGAAGAATGGATTTTTGAGTCAGGATCTCTCTCTGTCACCCAGGCTAGAGTGCAGTGGCACACTCAGAGCCCACTGCAGTCTCGGACTCGGGGGCTCAAACGGTCCTCTCACCTCAGCCTCCTGAGTAACTGGAACCACAGGTATGTGCCGCCATTCCTTGCTAAGTTGTTTTGTAGAGATGGGGTTTCCCAATGTTGCCAGGCTGGTCTTGAACTCTTGGGCTCAAGTTATCCTTCTGCCTCGGCCTTCCAAAGCACTCAGATGTTATTCAGTCTTAATTTGATATTTGTCAATAGTTCCAGGTAGTCTCTTTTTACCTGTAATACTCCAAGCGGGATTTAGAAAGAAATTTTGTTTCCACAATAAGGTTATTTACCATGTGAAATGTTTGTAAATAGGAATGTGTACAGATACTTTGCCCAAATATTTCATTGTAAACTTCTTGTTAAGTCAGTTATGTGTATGTAATGAGATTACAAAACTAAAAAGAGGTCGGGGGTAGTGGTTCACGTCTGTAATCCTAGCACTTTGAGAGGCCGAGGCAGGTGATTTGAGCTCAGGAGATGGAGACTAGCATGTGCAACATGGCGAAACCTTGTCTGTACTAAAATACAACAAATTAGCCGGGCATGGTGGCATATGCCTGTAATCCGAGCTACTCGAGAGGCTGAGACATGAGCATTGCTTGAACCCCGGAGGTGGAAGTTGCAGTGAGCTAAGATTGCACCACTACACTGCAGCCTGGGCAACAGAGCGAGACTCTGTCTGGGGGGAAAAAAAACTAAACTAAAAAGAAAAATTGTTTAATACTAAAACAGGCATGGGTTTACTCTAAGGAGGAACCTGTATGCAAGTACAGCAGAGTGGGGGCAGGTGTTGCTTAGTTGGCTACAAGCTGTGGTCAGGAAAGGAGAAGAGAGACAGAGAGATTGTGTGAGGAGGATCCTTCCCACCCTCTTTGAGAGCTGCCTGGAAGAGCCTTTGAAGAAGAAGCCTGGTGGTATTCTTAAAGAGTGAAGAGATGCTGAGGTGAGGAGGCAGGACAAGTGATAACAGGTAGTCCAAGATTGAGCAAAGCCTTTTGAGTTTGTCTGTAACTCCACGATCTCAGGGATGAGTTTCCACTCACAGATGCCCCCAGAGGTTCCCTCAGACACATTCTTAGTCTGCAGTCACTTGCTGGTGCCTCTTGAGGCGGCACTGGCCAGAGCACCTTACTTGAGTGTTGTCGTGTGTTACTGTTTCTTCTGTTATGTCTTTTCAAGGAGACCTCTTTGCTGCCACTTTCCTCATTAAGAACGGGGCCTTGGTTAACGCTGCTACACTGGGTGCCCAGGAGACACCGCTGCACCTCGTGGCCTTGTACAGTTCAAAGAAACACTCGGCAGATGTGATGTCTGAGATGGCGCAGATTGCAGAGGCCCTCCTGCAGGCCGGCGCCAACCCCAACATGCAGGACAGCAAGGGCAGGTGAGCTGGGGGAGGTATGGTGCCCGCAGCACTGTTCTTGGGAGGTGTGACCTTCCAGTAGCATGCAGCGGTCTTGCAGGGACTTCCTGGTCTGGAGTTTGGCGTCGTTCCGTCTGGTTTGTATTAAGGTCACAGACGCTGATGTGTGGTAGTGGTGGTACTGCTGAAGCCAGAGGCATCTGGGGAAAACGTTTCCATCCTGGGTAACTGGAGTCTTTGAGGGTTTGTTGTTGTTGTTTGTTTGTGTGTTTTTAATTGCATCAGCATCTCACTCTGTTGCCCAGGCTGGAGCACAGTGGTTCGATCTTGACTCACCGCAGCCTCCACCTCCCAGGCTCAGGTGATCCTCCCACCTCAGCCTCCTGAGTAGCTGGGACTACAGACACGCGCCACCCCACCAGGCTGATTTTTTTATTTTGTTGGAGATAGGGTTTTGCCATGTTGTCCAGGCTGGCCTCGAACTCCTGAGCTCAAGCAGTCTGCCCACCTCGGTCTCCCAGAGTGCTGGGTTTCCAGGTGTGAGCCAGTCTTCCAGCTTTTAAGCAATTTGTATCTTCACGTTCAAAGGAGCCAGAGTGGTCATCTAGTCCAGTGCCTGCAAGCGAATCTTGTAGCATTTCTTAGAGTTGCTTGGATAGTTTGAAGAAGAGGAGCACGCTAACTCCAGACAATCAATTTTCTTTTTATGAGGTCCAATCATTTGAAATTCTCTATAGTAAGCCCAATTTCACCTTGTCAGCGTTCCCACTTTATCTGCACAGCTTCATCCATAGCAGCCTGTCCCATATTGGACAGTATTTATTGTGTTCACTTTGCCCTTTCCAGAAATACCTAGTTGAGGATTCTGTGTGGTTTAGCGTCTAAGAAAAGGCTACTTGTCTTGGGCCAGTGGTGAGAGGCTGTGAAGGACAGTTAAGTCACTGATCACTGACCAGAGTTGGGACCCACTTGTCATTAGAACAACTCAGTATTTTATACCCTTGAAAAACCTCTCAAAAAGAAAACACTTTTTGTAAAGTTTGGTTGTCAGAATAGGAAAATGGATCTGTGTGACAGGTAAGGCACATGTGAGATGTAGCTTCATGAAACCTCAGTATCATGTGATCATTACCTTATTTCCTGAAAAATTGTATCCGTTTCCCTGCTGTTGATTCTTGTATTTTTTCCTCCAGCAGCAATAAACTTGCAGAGAGAGAGAGAGAGAGAGAGAGAGAGAGAGAGAGAGTGTGTGTGTGTGTGTGTGTGTGTGTGTGTGTGTGTGTGTGGTGGCGGGTAGATGCAGCCTTGGGCCCTGACTCTGCAGTGTATGTTTGTGTGTGTGTGTATGTTTGTGTGTGTGTGTGGCGGGTAGATGCAGCCTTGGGCCCTGACTCTGCAGTGTGTGTGTGTGTGTGTGTGTGTGTGTGTGTGTGTGTGTGTGTGTGTTGGGGGGGTGGCGGGTAGATGCAGCCTTGGGCCCTGACTCTGCAGTGTGTGTTTGAGGGGGGGCAAGGGGGGCAGGGGGGCGGTGTAGATGCAGCCCTGGGCCCTGACCTCTGTAGTGGCAGGTCTCCTGCAGAGCTCCTGGGTGCTACATAAAAGCAGTGAAAAGGGTTAAATGCAGCTTTCATCACTGGCTGCTCTGAGTGTGTTTGAGAAGAACAGAAAATTATAGGGGAAAGTTTCCTTTCAGAATTGATGGAGAATAGATAAGGGAAAATCTTCACGCCTATGGCAGAAAGTGCTGTTTTCAAGCAAATCATGTATATGCCTTCAGTAAGGGACAGTATTGAGTGGGGCAGGATTTGGGATCTCTCCCTTTAGCCGACTCTTGTCTGTTTTGGCCACTGAATCGTGGTAACATGAGCAGATCCATTTTCACATTTTGCTGCGCGGTCATGGTTTTAGGAGACTTGCAGAAATGTGGGATTTCCTGTGGGTGGTGACTGCCCAGGGTTCTGGCTCCCCCTGCAGAGAGTTGCCCTGACGGTCCTGTCCTGAACTGACACCTCTTCTTTCTATCCTGCAGGACTCCTTTACATGTGTCCATCATGGCCAGGAACGAATATGTGTTCAATCAGCTGCTGCAGTGTAAACAGTACGTAGGGAGACTTGGAGAAGTGAGAAGGCAGTTGTGAGGGGGGGATTGTGAGTGAAAAATAATTCTTTTTAAACATCTTTTAGTGTTACATATATTAAAAAGTTAAAGGGAGCTAAAAAAAATTTGTCATTGAAAAAGTATAAAGAGAAAAAACGAGGCTGTCAGTATAGAGTGTCTGAAAAAGATTGTATTTGCTGTTGACTTGGCTTCTGCTTTTCAGACTAGATTTAGAACTGAAAGACCACGAGGGCAGCACGGCTCTGTGGCTTGCCGTGCAATATATCACGGTGTCTTCTGACCAGTCTGTGAACCCCTTTGAAGATGTCCCTGTGGTAAATGGGACTTCATTTGATGAAAACAGCTTTGCAGCCAGACTCATCCAGCGCGGCAGCCACACGGATGCACCTGACATGGCGACAGGTAAGCACCTGCCTCCCAAAGGGCGGTGCCGGGATCTGGAGGTACCGGGAGATAGCGCGTAAATGCTCTCACCCCAGATCTAGATACGGAATGGCATACTATTAGGATAATTACTTTTTACATAATTTTAAATACAGTAAAACCCTGGGTTGTAATTTTTAAAAATCCTGTGCATCGGTCGGGCGTGGTGGCTCATGCCTGTAATCCCAGCACTTTGGGGGGCCGAGGCTGGTGGATCACCTGAGGTTGGGAGTTCGAGACTAGCCGACCAACATGGAGAAACCCCTTCTCTACTAAAAATATAAAATTAGCCGGGCGTGGTGGCACACACCTGTAATCCCAGCTACTTGGGAGGCTGAGACAGAGAGTCACTTGAACCTGGGAGGCCGAGGTTGCGGTGAACTGAGACTGAGCCATTGCACTCCAACCTGGGCAACAAGAGCGAAACTCTATCTCAAAAAACAAACAAACAAAACAGTCCTGTGCTTCAAACAATTTAGCAGACATCAAGTGCTTGAAGCTGAAACACTTCCATTTATTTAATGCGAGGATTCTCAGACTATTTGGACTCAGAATTCTTTTGACTGACTTAAAAATTATACCCCAGAGAGCTTTTCTTTAGGTGGATTATAACTTCAGTATTTGCCATATTAGACTACACTTTGAGAACCGGTTTTAATGCATTTCCTTGACCTGATTGAATAAAATACAGGGATATTTTAAGGAGAGGGATTCCATGTAATTCCGTATTGAGTGCTAGCAGTGTATAAAACATGGGTAGGTGCCACCCACAAAAAGAGTTGACAAAAAAAAAAAAAGATGGATATTGAAACAGCCCTTTCCCTAAGGAAGTTTGGCCAGGCATGGTGGCCTACGCCTGTAATCCCAGCACTTTGGGAGGCTGAGGTGGGTGGATCACCTGAAGTCAGAAGTTTGAGACCAGCCTGGCCAACATGGAGAAATCCTCTCTCTACTAAAAATACAAATATCAGCTGGGCATGGTGGCAGGCACCTATAATCCCAGCTACTTAGGAGGCTGAGGCAGGAGAATCACTTGAACCCAGGAGACGGAGGTTGCAGTGAGCCAAGATCACACCACTGCACTCCAGCCTGGGTGACAGAGTGAGACTCCGTCGAAGACAAACAAATAAAGATAAATAATATAATAATTAAACATATATAGATAAATAATATAATAATTAAAGATAAATAATATAATAATCACTAGGTGATCCCCCGCCTCAGCCTCCCAAAGTGCTGGGATTCCAGGCGTGAGCCACCACGCCTGGCAGTCCACTAGCTTTTAACAGTTGAGTGATGTTTGGCAGTCACGGGTTATCTTTATTCTGTTGTGAGGTATAGAATTTAAGTCTTGTCTACACTGGAATGACTGCGCACATGAACGTGGGACCCACATTAGGAGTCTCTAGATTAGAGTAACTATCAAGTAGGAATCGAATCCCTGTCTCTGAGAGATAAGGAAGAAAGTGGCATGGAAGCAAAGTAGTACTTTGTCTCATTGCTTTTTGTTTGTTTTGAGACCGAGTTTCGCGCTGTCACCCAGGCGGGAGTGCAGTGGCACTATTTTGGCTCACGTCCGCCTCCTGGGTTAAAGTGATTCTCCTTCCTCAGCCTCCCTAACAGCTGAGACTACAGGCATGTGCCATCAGGCCTGGCTAATTTTTTTTTTTTTTTTTGAGACAGAGTCTCACTCCGTCACCAGGCGCTAGGCTGGAGTGCAGTGGTGCGACCTCGGCTCACTGCAACCTCCACCTCCCGGGTTCAAGCAATTCTCCTGCCTCAGCCTCCCAAGTAGCTGGGACTACAGGCGTGTGCCACCGCACCCAGCTAATTTTTTTGTATTTTTAGTAGAGATGGGGTTTCACCATGTTGGCCAGGATGGTCTTGAACTCCTGACCTCAGGTGATCCACCCACCTCAACCTTTCAAAGTTTTGGGATTACAGGCATGAACCACTGTACCCGGCTAGCCCAATTCTTTATTTTGTTTTTAGTCCTGGTGTTTAGTTTATTTGGAATTTCAAATAGTATAGCTGTTGACATGAGATAGTTTGTTCATTTTTGGAAATGGATTTTAAAAGACTGAGAAACACTTCTGGGGCTAAAACCATTTTGAGAGAAAAAGAAAAATCATTTTTTTCTTTTCTAGGGTTTTATTTAGAAAAGAATGACAGTGCTAAGGAAAATATTTCTAAGCCAATAACAAACATATTTAAAGCATTAGAAATAAAACTGACGTATTTAAGGGACATTTTCTAATGGAACGTAAAATATTTTCAAAATAGTCATCCAGTGGTTTTCAGCCAGGCAGAATCCTGTCTATACTGCCTGAGAACACTTGTCAACATCTGTAGACTTTTCTTTTTCTTTTTTTCCTTTGATACGGAATCTTGCTCTGTCGCCCAGGCTGGAGTGCAGTGGCACCATCTCGGCTCACTGCAACCTCCGCCTCCGGGGTTCAAGCGATTCTCTTGCCTCAGCCTTCCAAGTAGCTAGGATTACAGGTGTGCACCACCACACCTGGCTATGTTTTGAATTTTTAGTAGAGACAGGTTTTCACCATGTTGACTGGGCTGATCTCAAACTCCTGGCGTCGAGTGATCTGCCTGCCTCGGCCTTTCAAAGTGCTGGGATTACAGTTGTGCAGCACTGCACCTGGCCAGCATCTGTGGACATTGCGAATTGTCCTAAGTTCAGAGGATGCTGCTGAACACTCCACAATGTGCAGAACAGACCCCCACAGCAAAGAACTTATCCCTCCAAAATGTCAGTAGCATCACTGTTGAGAAACGTTGCTGTACTCCAGCCCCAGCAAGGAGACAGAACTTATCTTTGGTCCTGGGCAGTGGCCAGTGGGAACCCCGTGGAGGAATGGATGCTCCAGCCCCGGGTGTTCTCTAGGCTTTGTGTCTACATCCAGAGAGTACCTCTGTGGCCTTCAGTGATACCTCCTGTCTGATGTGGGCCTGCCAGTCATAAGGTGGTAGGAAGAACAGGTGTTGTGCAGTGTGCAGCTTGACTGCATTTTGATGCAAACAGAAGAATCAGTATGCCCGTTTTCTTCTAGGAAACTGCTTACTACAGCGGGCAGCTGGGGCAGGAAACGAGGCAGCAGCTCTTTTCCTGGCAACCAATGGTGCCCACGTGAACCACAGAAACAAGTGGGTAAGTAACGGGGCAGCCAGGAAGTTGGTTTTCATCTATGGAAGAAATGACAGCGGTGCATACACAGGGAAAAGGGCATAGATGTGTTTTTCCATTTTTATCAGAATAATACATGCATATGGTTACAAAGCCAGCAGGAAATATTATTTTATGTTTCCTCAAATATTGGTTGATTGATTCATTCAGCAACTATTTCCTAAGCGTTTGTTTAGGAAACTGCTTGTTTAGGTTATCAGGCCCTGAGCTAGATACTACGGACTTCAGTAGAGGTTAGCACACACGTACACAAACCTGCCATAATAGCATTTGATTCTTTATAACAACACTTCACATTCGCTTGGGTTTTTCTATGTGGACTGCCTGTATCGCAAGCTAACAAGGTAGAATGTACGGTGTTAGGAATGAAAGTGTTACCTTTGAGGCCGGACATTACAGAGTTGACCAGCTTTCCCATTTCCTCCCCATGTGGTTGTGTGGGTTTTTTTTTGTTTTTTTTTTGAGACAGACTTTCGCTGTTGTTGCCCAGGCTGTGCAATGGCATGAACTTGGCTCACCGCAACCTCTGCCTCCTGGGTTCAAATGATTCTCCTGCCTCAGCCTCCCAGAGTCCTGGGATTACAGGCGTGAGCCACTGCACCCGGCCTATGAGGTCTTAATTTTAGTTTCCTCATCTGTAAAATGGGGTTAATACTCATTTCATCGGGTGTGGTTAAGATGAAAGTGAATGATAATATCAGAGACATTAGGTACTATTTGATAGTTATTTTTGCTTTATTATTTTCAGGCCAGGAGGAGGTGCTTGTCTTTAATGTTGCGTTTATTTCACAGTCACTTTGTGCCAGCACCTTTAAGGCTGTTATCTCTTTTAGTTCTCACAGTGGACCTGGAAGCAGCATGTATTGTTAGGATTGAAGAGGCCTTTCCTTCATCAATAAATTCATTTCGGGATCAGGGACCTTGAGGTTCTGTGAGGTTAAGTGGCTTATAAATGATGAAGTGTCCACATTGAGACCCCAGCACAAGGCTGACTAGTTGTACACTCTCGATAGCACTGGGCAAGGCAGTAAACACTCAGCTTGCTATCTGAGCCAGACCAGTGAAGTACAGGAGAGAGGGCAGTGCCGTCCTTTCCACCACCAACGCCACTATGTGTCTGCACACCGCCAGCTCTGCAGCCAGAGTGACGGCGTGGCCCTGGGCCCACTGGGGGCTGCTGCCTCGTATGGGTTCTGTGTCCCAGATCTCAGGCCCTCTCACCTTCTCCTGGCCTCTGCTCTTGCCATCGTGTGTCTGTCTCTTTCTCTCCAGCATCATTAACTTTGCCCACTCCTAATTTCTAATAGCAGAGAGGCATGCTTTACTATCTCCTAACTTAAAATCCTCGGCCAGGCGCAGTGGCTCATGCCTGTAATCCCAGCACTTTGGGAGGTCGAGGCGGGCGGATCACCTGAGGCTGAGTTCCCATCCAGGTCAGCCTGGCTAATGTGGTGAAACCCCATCTCTACCAAGCTTTAGAGACACAGGAGGCCTAACTTGAGAGCAGTGTAGACCAGCTCTGGAGAAGGGCCTGGAACACTGGTTTCTGGTGTGGGGGCTTTATCCTGTGGGGACAGAAGAGCCATTGGAGGGTTTTGGGCAGGGAAGTAGTAGGATGCTTCTAGCATTAAGAAAACTGCCTGGGATGGCTGGCATGGCGAGTGTGCCATGGAGTGCAGGCTGGAGCCAGGTGGGAATCATCTTGATAAGCAGTGACCTGTCCTGGCCTCACACTGCATTTGGATCCAAAGAAACAGGTTTCACCAGAAATGCAGAATTAGTGTGTACGGCATGCATGCTTGAGGCTCCCAGAAGTGAGGGCAAGAAGCTGTTAAAACTGTTGTGGTCCAAGAATGACGAAAGGAAATTTGCGAACTCAGAGGGGAAGGTTGAGAGGGGATGGGAAGAAAAGACTACATACCGGGTACAGTGTACACTGCTCAGGTGACGGGTGCACCAAAATCTCAGAAATCACTGCGGAACTCATCCATGGAACCAGAAACCACCTGCACCCCAGAGACGTTGCAATGGGAATTTTCAAAAACGATGGTTGTGGTGAATCTGTGAAAGAAGAGAGGAAACTGGCCAGAAGGAGGAACCTGTGTGGGGGAATAAATTCCATTGTAATTTTTGAATTTCTAAACATTTAGGTAGGGATGTCTAACAGGCAGTGGGAAAATCAGATGCAGAAATGGGGCTGGAAACCTGTTGAGAGTCCCAGGCAGAAGCCATGGGGTAGATCAGCACACCCAGTGAGAATGCGTAGGAAGAAAGGTCTGGAACAGAAGACAGCCCTGAGCAGGAGGGGAAGAGGAGGAGGAAGAAATACCTGGGAGGGCTCACACCAGTTATAGCACCCCTGTGTGGGGAGGACTTGGGATGGGAAGCATGCACTGGGGCTCGAGGCGTGAAAGCACTCAATCCTTACCTGCCATGGCAGCAAGTCCCACAGATAATGTTCAAAGCTGGAAAATGAAGAGGCAGCAATAAAAACACATTAGAAATATGGAGATTTAGGCCGGGTGCGGTGGCTCACACCTGTAATCCCAGCACTTTGGGAGGCCGTGGTGGGGGGGATCATGAGGTCAGGAGTTCAAGACCAGCCTGGCCAACATGGAGAAACCCTGTCTCTACTAAAAATACAAAAATTAGCTGGGTATAGTGGCTTATGCCTGTAGTCCCAGCTACTTAGGAGGCTGAGGCAGGAGAATTGCTTGAACCCAGGAAGGTGGAGGTTGCAGTGAGCCGAGATCGCGCCATTGCACTCCAGCCTGGGGAACAAGAGCGAAACTCCGTCTTTAAAAAAAAAAAAATGGAGATTTACAAAACTTAGCTGGAAGAGTTAAAAGTGATTCCTGGTGAGAAAGGATAATTTTTTGAGGAAAGGGAGGAGATAGGATCTTGTTTTTTTTGTTTGTTTGTTTTTTTAGGCTAGTCAAGTGAAGCAGTGGGAGTGAAGGAACGAAACAGTCTGGAACTGGTTGTGATCAGTTATTTGCAAACATCACTGCCAGGGATCTTGCTGAGTTTTACAACATGCCTTTACGTGATGAGGGTGTGTAACTCTGATGAGAGCAGGCGCTTTGAGAAGCAGAGCCGGGTGTTGAGGTCATTCCCATCTGTTTGGGTGAAAAAAAATTGTGTGTGTGTGTGTGTGTGTCTGTGTACATACAGACATACACATATACACACCTAAGTGCATAAGTGTATGCGTACATACATTCTCCTATGAATATTCTGTCGATGAAGAGAAACATGAAACTGCTAATAATGGTTCCAGATGTGAGAGGAAACTTAAAATATTGCATCAGGAGTATTTTTAACTTTTAAAATAGGGGCAGGAGGTCTTGATCAGAGTTGAAGATGAGGTTGGTATGAGCAGGTGAAGGAAGCGGAGTGCAAGTGGGGAGGTGAAAAGGAGCGAGGGCCACAGTGCCAGCACTGCTCGTCACCGGGCTCGTGCCCCTGCTCTCCCACTAGTTGCAGTGTTTATTTTGGTGACACTTATAGCTTGTTATTGTTTTGTCATAATAAGCATGTATTATTTTTATAATTAAAGAATTATAAAACAAAGTGAAGGGTGGTTAAGGTGGCCCTCGGAGGTGAGGTCAAGAAGCCAGTTCTTTCTGAAGGTGCTAGGGAAAGACACTGAAGAAACTTAAGGGTAGAACCAGGTGCAATGTCTCGTGCCTTTAACTCCAGCTGTTTGGGAGCCTGAGGCAAGAGGATTGCTTGAGCCTAGGAGTTTGAGTCCAGCCTGGGCAACACAGTGAGACTCCGCCTCAAAAATACATGAAAAAGAAGATACTAAGAGTGATGGCTCAGGAGAAAGAGAACAAAAGTCATGAGGGTCAGCTGGCGACAGGATGAGCCAGGGACCGGAGTTGGCGCGCTTAGCCGTCGTGCCCCCTCTGCGAAGGGAATTCCTGGCCGGAGTTTGCG